AATGATTTTAAGGTAATTATATTGCTTTTTAGTATAGTAACTCATATAAATTCATCTACAAATTATTTAAGAAATGTACAGTATAGTTTTTATTTTAGAAAATGAATAAATGTGAATTACACTATTATGTAAGAGAAAACAATTTGAGTATTTTATATAAAGATAAATTTAGCTCCTGGTTAGATAAAGAATTATATGCAAAAACTAAAAAGTTAAAAACAGGCGTAAGACAAATATTATTTTCAATAAAGCATCAGTTAAAAAAAAAAATCATCAATTAAAACAAAAAAAAGCATCAATTAAAACAAAACAAAGAAGAATAAGCCGTTTGGTGAAAAAAAAAAAATGCATCGGAAGGAATGTTATTTATTGCAAGCAAAAATTATTAAAATATAGGAAAATTACCAGGCGAAAAAGTATTTACAGCTGATGAAGTGCTTGCTTTAATTTTAGATAATGGGCTGACTAAAATTGCATATTAAATTATAAGGTCTGCAGCAGTAATTAAAAGCCACGATAACTTGTATACAGCATATAATAATGTTAAAGAATCTAAAAAACAATGTTATCCAGATATGGAAAATTGGGATATTGTTAGTTATTCAGCATCAGTTAAAATGATGAGCCTCTTAAATCATTCTGCATTAAGATTAGTCTCTTTACAAAGTAATGCTCTTTCACAAAGTTGTGTATCAAGATTAACTTTACGATCAACAGTTGATTTTGATGGTGCAACAGGTCAGGCAATATACAAACAATTTGCGCCAGAATAAGATGTACGCAATCTTAATATTGAAGAAAGTCTGTTTATTACCTTCTTTGCTCCATTAGACTGAGTGGATTTATTGGTACAGAAAAAATAGTAATTTGATTTAATCCTCCTCTTTCTTCAACAATGTATTGTAGACCAGTAAGGTTTAGATATGTAAAAAAAAACAAATGAAGTCATCAAAGCAGAGGAACAGTTCATTGAAAGTCAAAAACTTGAGTTAACAGTCTTATTAAATGGTGCAACGGTGCAAAATTTATTAGAATTAACCATGATAAATGAAAAAGTTGCTAATGTACTGTCTGAAAAAAAAATGCTGCTCAATGTTGCCCAGTGTGTGGAATAACTCCATCCAAGATAAATAACATTGATCCATGCCAAAAAAAAGTTTTTTACAAACTGAAATTAAGTATAGCTTGTCAACATTAAATACCTGAATAATGTCCATGAAATGATTTTTACATGTTGCCAACAAATTTAAAAAAAAGAAAGGGCGAGTGTATTGAGCTGTTAAGGAACTCTCTGTAAAGAAAATGAAGAATAAATTTCAACGCAAATTAACTCAAGAACTTCGTTTGGTTGTTGACATTCCTAAAACTAATGAGTCTGGCACTAGTAATGATGACAACACTGCACGTTTTTTCTTTAGGCAATCTGAAAAAGTCTCAATTTAACATAATTGGTTTATCAAAAATTCTTGTTGACAACTTCTTTGTGATCCTATGCACATTATCCTGTAGTCTAGATGTTGATGCTGATAAACTCAAAGAGTACTGTTTACAAGTTGCTCGCACGTATTTGAATTTATTTCCATTAAATTACATGCCAGCAAGTATTCATAAAATTCTTTTTCATGATCATTCAGTTATAAGAAGAATTTCTCTTCCAATAGGCATGTTATCAGAAGAAGCTCAAGAAGCAACAAACAGTTTTTTTAAAAAAATCGTGAACATTTTAGTCTTAAAATGTCCACAGTTAAGAATAATGAAGACTTACTAAGACGAAAACTATGTTCATCTGATCCATATACTAGCAGTTTGAGAAAACCATTACCAAGTTCAAGTATTATTCAACTTCAACATGAAGCAATTCAACTACTTTTATAATTGTCAAGCTTCTGAATCTGTTATGTGAAATATAACTTATCTTAAACTGCATTATGGTATACTTTAAAATAAAAATGTTGTTTAACATTGTGCTTGTTATAGTAAAGTTTAAATTTTAATTAAATAGTTCTCTGTGATTTTCATACTGTTTTACAGTTTATTTTTAAAGCTTTTAAATGGGTGATAGTAAAAATGTATCACGAGGAAAAAAACGTCGTAACATGTTTTATAAAAAGAAAGAAAACAACTCACTTTCTGAAAAGGATAACACTTCTAAATTCAATAACCTTAGAGAAGCTAAAATTAAATCCAGATTGCACTCATTTTGTTATGATAATGAGAATTACAATATTATTATGAATCTTAAACTCTTGAAGTTATTTTTTAAATACTGTTTCTGTTGTCCAGAATTTAGCTCAAGTAATATTAGTTTGGTTGACAAGCTTTCACCAAGAATGGGACATGCGCATAAGTTAAGCTTGACTTGTAATGCATGCAAATTTATTAAAGAAACTTATACATCCACTAAATGTGTTAGTATCAATAAAGTTCAAGGTTGAATAAAATTTGAAATAAATATTCGAGCTGTAGCCTATTAAAAAAAATATCTCTTTAAACAGAGACCCTATTAACAAGTGCACAAACAGTGATGTTACTAGGATACTATTAAGTCTACATCGACTCTACATAAGTAAAATTTAAATTTTAGAATGTACTTATATAGGGCTTTTTAATATTGCCAATATCATATCATTAAAAATAGCATTATTATATAAAATAGCAATAGCATATCATTAAAAAACCAATAGTATATTAAAATTGTTTGAGTTATGAGATTAACTCGAATTTAGGAATAAGTCATAAAATGTTCATCAAAGACTATTAAAATCAAGAAACTCAATTTATGTCATGATTTTTATTCTTGCGATTAAAAGCATGATTCTATTTGATTTATATCAACTGCTTTAAATCAATCAATTTAAATCAATCAACTTAAATCAATCGATTTAAATCAAAATCAGTTGATTTAAATCAATCTAACCCTGTATATGTTACAGGAAATATAAAAATTCATCTTATTAAGCCAGAGGGACATTATTCTTGATTTCATTATTCTTTAATTGATTTCATTGGATATCGTTCATATTTAGTTGGCGTACAACAGTTAACAACTTTAAGCTTTTTCATTTACTATAGTTATGACTTATTTTTTAATAAATTGGTTTATGGTTAATTATAGCAATGCAAGATTGAAGGCTAAACTTATGCTCAGGAGACAAAAAAGGAAAACAGGGAACATGACCCGCCAAATTAAAGATTGAAAAGACAAATAATTGTATATATCTTGGTATAGATGATTCTTCAGATTATATATAAATGATAGTAATGGTTTTTCCTCAATTTTATACAATAACACAAAAAAATATTCATAAACCTTACAGTTTCCTAAAACGTTTAAAGTTTGTTTTACAGTTTCCTAAAAAATATTAACTTAAAAGTATCAAGATATATTTATATTCCTTAAAGATATTCAAGTATTAATTGCTTGATTGGCAAACATTGAAGGGCAACTTGGTGAATTACAAAGCGCACCATATAAATTCAGAACATATTAAATAAATTTATATGCCAATTATTGAAATTCCTAAGAAATTACACAAGCCCTTGCTACTAAAGGCAGTAGAGAGTTTAAGTAGAAAAATTAAAATACAAGTCAATACTTAAGCTTATCATATCTATATTATTTTATTATCCATTTTAATCCGTAGTATAATAACATTTCACAAATTACTTTAAAAAATTATTCTTTGAGTGTTTTTCGTGAATGAAATTTTTTAATAGTTTATAATCAAATTTATAATCATATATAAAATTTATAATCATTATATAAAACTATAATAGCTTATAATCAAAATTTATAATCAAAAGAAACTTAAATTATTTCCTGGTTGTATATTTTTGCCTGTTGATTATTTGGGTCAAATTGGAGTTAAAGACAAAAGATATTTCATACGTTATTTACTAAGCACAGCTTGTAAAAACAACTTAACTTAAAATTAAATTATGCAGGAAGAAGACAAAAAAACCAAGATTGGAAACATATTTAATGCTTATGATGGTTTTAGTGGTTTAGAAAAGTTATTTTTTTTAGTTTTATTAGTACATTATATAATTTCTTTAAATTTGCTATGTTTCTTTGGTCTATAATTAAACAAACAACAATTTTTGCATAAACTGTAAAGTCAAATAAGCATGACTTAGAATAATATGTGATAGGTATGTGGGAAGAAAAGCTGAGAGTCGAAGGCACATAATATCATTAGCAAAACACGATTTAATAACAAATAGGTCAGCCAATATTGAAACTACACCATAAACTTAAGAGAAAATGTTTTTATTTAAAATTTAATATGTTAGTTTTTGGTTTATGTTTGCAGATTGCAACATGTATATTTAACAGATAAATTATGCAAATTACCTAAATAAATTTTTATACTTGTGTAATACATTTTTGTTTTTAGTTATTAATAAATTGCAATGTAGCGATGTAAATTATCAATTTGTAACAACGATCTACTGTCGCGTTAAAGTTCGGGCTAAAAATATTACGTTTGTTGTTAAATTCAATAAAGAGTTAAATTATGATAAAATTAACCCAGTATTTCATACAATATTGAGCCAACTTTGTATACAACGTTAGGCCAATGCTGTATACAAAGATCGGCTAAAACAATTTCCAAACAATGATTAAACCTGCAATGGCTCAACCTCGAATTTCAACGTCGTGCCTCTTTATCAATGTGCGTTGGCTCAACGCTGGGCCAATGTAAGCTTGTTATCATATATATATATATATATATATATATATATATATATATATATATATATATATATATATATATATATATATATATATATATATATATATATATATATATATATATATATATATATATATATATATATATATATATATATATATATATATATATATACTTTAAATACTTATTCATATATATGTTTACAAATTTTCCTAATGTTTTAATTTTAAATAAAGTAATATAAGTCGAAAAACATAACTTGCAATAATATATGAAATAAAATAATAACTTTGTAATAATGACCTTTTAATGTTTGCAAATTTTTCAAAGCCACTAACACACTGTTTTCGGAAAATATTATTATAGTAATGCATCAGTAAATAGAGTTTTGTTATATTAAAAAATCTCATACGAATTTAAAATTTCAAAATTTAGCATATAATAATCTTAATCCGCCTTTCAAAGTAAATCTGCTCAATATAAAAAAAAAATCATGTAAAAAATATCTTATTTATTTATAGCTTTTTGTTCTGTTTTAAATGGAAATAAACAAAGACAAAGTGTATAATAATTTTTCATATGCTATATTGATTTTGTTAGAAAATATTTGACCAAAATTAAAAATGTTTGACAATTTTTTCTTGAAATAATCTATTAAAAAAATAGTCTACATATGAAATAATAAGTTAAAAAATACTTTAATATTGTGTATACTTATAAATAAATGTATACTTTTTTGTTCTTTGCCACATGTTTTAAAATCCAAATGTTAAAAAAACAAAAATAAAAGAGAAATTATTACAACTGAAAGATTTAAGAATAAATAGAATGAATGCAGACCGTAAGTTCTTGTCACACAGAACCGCTGCTGAAACTTAGAAATTTTTTTCATTTTAATTTTAAGTTACTAAATTAAATAAGCTTGCAAAGCATTTACATACCCATTTAAATCACTGATTCGTGCAGTGATTTTCAGATGAACTTTACGTTTCTCATAATCAAAATATATGGTTAATTAACCTTCATTCAATAATTATTATTTGATTATTCAATAAAGTTTTTCTTTTTTATTTTCTATATCTACTACTATTTTCCCTATAATATGCATATATATATATATATATATATATATATATATATATATATATAGATATATACATATATATTATTTAAAATGTATATATACATATATATATATATATATATATATACATATATATATATATATATATATATATATATATATATATATATATATATATATATATATATATATATATATATATATATATATATATGTATTTATATATATATATACATATATATATATATATATATATATATATATATATATATATATATATATACATATATATATATATATATAAATATATATATATATATATATATATATATATATATATATATATATACATATATATATATATATATATATATATATATATATATATATATATATATATATATATATATATATATATATATATACATATATATATATATATATATATATATATATATATATATATATATATATATATATATATATATATATATTAAGTGCACCCATAGTTAGCAGTTAGAGTCAATTCTTTATTCAATATTAAATATAGTATCATCTTTTTACAGTGAGAATTTATGGTGAAATCGGAAAGCCATCTGGTGTTTGTGACACAAGTTCATTAATAAGATTTTGTAGCAGATTTTAATAATCTAATAATTAATAGTGTAGTTATTAGCTAAAAACAGTATTAATTTGCTTTGCGTTAATTTACTTGTAATTCTCCAAATTCCAAAAATCTCCATTTGTAAGATGTTGCTCAAGTTAGACATCAAATAATGGGTTTAATTGGTGTTCGTCTGTGGCAGAGTAATTTGAAAAAAAGAGTATTTACACAAATAATAATGTAATTTTAAGAACTAATGCTGAATTTAAGTCAAATTCTTGCCTATTGCATTAGAATAGAAACAGCAAATAGTAGTTAGTAAATTGTTTTGATATGCTTTGTTCATTTGACAATGTGTCTTTGCACAAGTTATTCCTTGGAGCATATCATCAATTTATATATTTTGTGTGAAATTTAAATTAAAAATTCTTATCGGTTTTGCTCAGAAATGACTTAATTTAAATCAAATGCTAAAAATAAACCTTCTGACTTGTCTAGGTGTTGTAGAGAAATACTTTATAATAAAGGTAAAATGTATTGTGAAGTAATGAAAAACACTTCTCAACGAGGGAGACAAATTTTACTTTTAGAGTTAAAGCAATATTTTTGTAATTTCCTTATAACATCAATTTTCTTTTTCTTATTGAAACCTTTTTTAATCATAAATCATTTTTTTTCTTTTTTTTATGACGCAAATTTATTTTTTCTTGTTTATTTGGAGATGAAGGTTTTACTAATTTAATAATGTTTTGAAATTTCGAAAAGAAATTTTTTTTTTTATAGTTCAAGTATAATTTACTTACTCAATTAAAACAAAATTGATATTTAATCAGTTACGGATCCAAAAATTTCTGGTGAGACAGGAAAAAAGGTGGTGGGGCGGGGGGAGGGGTGGAAAATCAAAATATTTTTGTATTTTTGATCACATTTGCTTCTCCTGAAAAAAAATGGTCCTCAAATTTAATAAAATTCTAGGATTTTCAGATTCTGGTGGAGGGATGCATACCCTCATGCCAGCTGGATCTGTCACTGATATAAATAGCATATAGTTGATAAAAATTGTAATTAAAATTATATATACCCGATATTAAATTAAAAATAGTATAACTTTAGTACAAAAATTGCTTTTTGTACTGAAGTTATACTTATTTCTAAATCTTTTTGTGCACAGTTATATTCAAGTTATATCTAAATAACTTAAGCGCCTTAGTTTTTTTTTTTTTTTTTATTGATGCTCAATACTTCTTTGTATAATTTTCTTTTTAGTTTCTCCAATATAAACGACACCGCATCAACACGAAAGCTAATACAAACCCGGCTTACTATTTAGTAATAGTTTAGATTTTTTTGTTACACAAAATTCTTTTTAAAGTTGACGGTGTTGTAAATACAACTTTAGCGCCGTATCTCTTGGGCTTTTACCTTAAATTTAATCCTATTCTATGAATCCATGGAAACTTTATTGTTATGTAACCATTTGTTGTTTAATCTGCAAATACACCAAGAGGATTGTTTTGAAATTTTTTGTTGTAAGGTCTAACTCTGATCTTTTATAGCCATTTTCGACAAACTTATTTAATAAAAATTGTATTTCATCTTGAAGGTGTTTTAGGGAACAATTTTTTGAGGCTTTTAATACAAAACCATTGAAGACTAGTACCAGGAATTGCCGATTCCGGGATATTGTGATAAAATTAAAAAAATTGTTATAAAAAGTTGTCACCTTTTTTATTGTTCGCAAGTTTCATAATAAACCATCTAAGCATAATATTAACATTGCCCTAAAAATATTCTATAAGTCTTTTATAGCATATAATTCTAGTTCAGTTGTATCGATTCTTTATTATCGACCCATAAGTTAAAAATATTAGGATCCCGTACCATTTTACTAATGATTTGTTTCCTTGTTTACGGATAACTTTTTCCATTCTCAACATCTCTTGATTCGTTTTTTGCAGTTCTTGTTCATAAAAAGTACTTTGTATTTCTTCACCATGATCATCAGTTATTCTATACGTTGGTGGATTTGTACACTGAACTTGTGATATAGTAAATACTTCTTCAGTCCATCTTGGCGTGTATCCTTTTTCAAATGTTACTTTCTTTTTAGTTATTCTCACTTTATCACCTATCAAAAACTTTGCTTGAATATGTTTTGATCTCACTTTTCCATTTACATTCAACTATAATCTCATTCTTTTTAATGGTAGCTTCAGCTAGAGTCATTTTAATTGAAGAGTGCTTTGAGTTTTTGTATTTATTTACCATTTAATCTAAAACATCAATGTATTGTCTAGTAGAGTTAGCAGAGAAGTACTTGAACATTTTCTCTTTCATTGTCCTATTCCAACGTTCAGTTACGCAACTTTTCTCTTCATTTTCAGTCGAATAGAGCTGCATAACTAACGCTTTAACTTGCTTGTTATAAAATTTCGAGCCTATATCTACCCACATTTTATTAGACTTTCTCTCTTTAAATATTTTATTGAAAGCGGGAGCAACCTCAACCCCAGTTTTACTCTTCAATTGAACAATCCATCCATACTTTGAAAATATATCTATTACCATCAATAGGTATTTTATACCGTCATTGAATTTAGAAAAAGATTGCATGTCGACTAAATCAGCAGCCCAAACTTCATCAATCGCATTTCCAATCACTTTTTTTTTTCTGAAATGTTTTACAACAGTTTTTTGAAGTTCATTTGCAAGTTCGTAAGTCCATTTTAGATCATTGTGATTCATTGTTTTTATGTTTTTTGCTTTTTTACTGATCGCTGGTAGTTTTTTGAACCTTTAGCTTTCTTTTGCACACCTAAGCCAAACTTTGCTTCAGCAGGTTTTATAATACTTCACTCCAATTTTTCACGCTGTGTAGGATTTGTTATACAATTTGTTCAATCATTTGTTTATCAGCTAAATTTCTACTTTCTTTGTCTGGAAAATGCTTATAAATAAGATCATGAATATAAGCTGCATTATCAACTGGATCTATGGCTTACTCTATTTTTTATATGCATCAGTAGAAGTTAATCGTGCATCTAAATTAGTTTCAGGTCCTGCAAAATTCATACCAGGTAGTTGCATTTCTCCTGGAAATTTTGCCCATGGTAATTTGTTACTCTTTGTAAGTAAATTAAGTGATTCTACTAAATCACCTCCTGTTATACTTTTTGTAAATTGAGTTTTTGTTGTACTACAAATAGCACAAGTTCCAAGTAGCATATTTCTATTGTTTTTACTTACAACATGTTGTAAGTTTAGAGTATATCTTTTGTTTCTACATTTAAGGCAGTACATTTTTGTTTACTTATATTTTTTTATTACATTTTAATTTAAATTATGAATATCTGAAATAGATTTAAAAAAAAATCTTTATATAAGAAAATATAAGTATTAGATTTATTACATAATGTAAATAAAAATATTTGTCATATTAATGACTTCTACCAAGAAGTATAAAAGGACTTATTGTAGGAAAGTCAGGTTGTGGAAAGAGAAATCTATTATTAAATTTACTTATAAGACCTGGTTGGAAAGACTATAATCATTTACAAGTTTTTGGTAAATCTTTATTTTAAAAAGAATATAAAATAATAAAAAACGTTTTAAAGAAAATTTACCAAAGAAGTGATTTTTATTATATTTTTTATGCAAAATGACATCGAAAAAAAAAGTGTTTTGAAACAGCAGATGATGTTCCAGAACCTGAAGATCTTGATCTTAATAAAAATAATTTAATGATACTTGATGATTAACAAT